AGAGAGAGAGAGAGAGAGAGAGAGAGAGAGAGAGAGAGAGAGAGAGAGAGAGAGAGAGAGAGATGCTAATAACTATATTTCACCAGCAGACTTTTTACATTGCTCTTCTGTTTCACCAGGATATTCCGAATTTAACACGAGGGTAAACTGTCCAGCTGGAGACAATTCACAAAATACACACACCCTCCTGCATATTTTACATGCATACATCTTTGCAATCTACAAAATCTCTTCCACCCACACACACCCACACACAYATACGCAACAGACTTCAGCAGCTGTCCTGACCTTGAAGATAAATACACCCTTGAAAAATGTTTCTGCAATTCATGGCTGGCGACCGAGTGTTATATGAGCAGCGTTTCAAAAGATTCATCTCAGGCTACGTGAAAATAGATATGGAGTCAATATGTGGTGCCCTCTCTCACACGCGCACACACATGCATATACAGTACATATTTGTCTCGGCATCACTGCACATGATTGCACTTGTTGTTTCTGTCTTTTTCTGAAAWGCAGGTAAAAATATGAACTCGGAGCCAGACAGGGAAATCAAACCCAAACAAACAAATAATCTGTAGTTTAACACGTCTTGCATGAATTATTATTAGTTTTTCTTTCAGTTTGAACAGCCTCTTAATGTAAAAACTCACCAAAATCCAACAACAATCAGTAACTCTCAGTGACAAGAAAGAAAAAAAAAACATTTTAGATCAGGCTATAAATCTCACCTGTTCTTTCTAAGTCCCATACAAGCTCGTCACACCTGCACCTTTACTGACATCTAGTGTCAGAGGCACTGATGACCAGATAAAATCTCCCTTCAGGTCAACCCCAGCAGCAGTCATCAGACCTCTTCTGCTTTCTTATGAAAGCAACAAAGGTGTGAAGTAAAAACTGAATGTGTTTCTGTAACAAGGGTTGCAAAACTGTAAGTTGTGYAAATGAATGGGTCCACAAGATATCCTGTTCTCTTCAAAAAGCTTTGAATCCCGTCAGCTTCATGCTCCTGTTGCACATACATTAGAAATAACTGGTGTGGAAACTACGAGAAATATTTTTTTATTTATGTTTGTGTTTTTTAATTTAAAAATGAGCCTTGATTTGTTAAATGGTTTAGAAACAATTTAAAGGGGACCTGTGTGTAAAATCTACTTTTTTAGGCATTAAATTCATTTTTGTCATGTACTAGTTTATTTTAGTCTCTTTGGGTGCTGTGTAGATATATTTATATTCCTTTTCAGAATTCTCTATTTGCTATGATGACTTCTGAACTATCATGTTAAATTATTTGTAAAGTAAAGGTGCTTTATTTGTCATCAGTGTATGTTTCCACACAATGACGAAATTYGTGCTCTGCATTTAACCCATCCACACCCAAGTGGAGCAGAATTATTTGCAACAGAACTGCCGTATTAAGTCTGGACTTACCAAAACTATTACGTGGTCCTCATTCTCCTCTGGCTCTGGGTCAGACTCTGACTCCTACACKTAAGGCTGGATGGACAAGTCCTCCATCGTTGACATCTTTGGCTTGATTTGTAAATTAATAACTTGTGAAACTCATTTTTGGATTTAAAAGAACAGCATCAAAATGAGCTGCTGTGAGACAGACCTCAGAAAAGGGGTGAAAGAGGGGCTTGTGGAGTTACAATAATGAGCTCAGACCATATCAGTGCAGTTCCACTTTATATAGACCCCCAACTGAATGATTTAAATCTTAAAAAAGGATTAAAAAGCACATGTCTCCTTTAAATCAGGAATGCAAAATGTCACAAGTGAGTTAAGTAGCTTAAATATAACATATCTGCCCATCTATCCACATTTATACATTTTGTGTTGTATTTTTAAGCTTGTTCAAAAAGATTTGGTTACTCTTATATGACAGATACAGTATGTCAGGGTCGGTTTCCAGGGTTTTGTAACATCTTCATGTAACTCTTGTCGTGGGTGTTTGATGACATTTCCCCGCCCTTTGCAGCAACATATGCACCTCTGCGGTCTGATCTTGTTTTTTTAGGGAACTCTCACTTCCTGGTTGCTGGTGTCTGTTTCCTCTCCAGCCTGTGTTGTGTTRCTGTGTTACAGCACAACTCTCCTCCATCATCTCTACGGCAGGCCAAAACAAGACCAAACTTTCAACTCTTTCCTGAGTCAGGAGCCAACATCATGCAGCAGATACGAGATGAAAGGTATGGTTTTGATTTAAGAGACCATTAAAAACAAAAAAATATATACGCAAAAGAAAATCAATGCTGTTGACCAGGGACAACTAAAATGAGCAAGCAGTTAAGCTGTATGTTTTACAGCAGAAGGGGAATGTGTGGACTTTTTATTACAGACTTTACAACATATTAAAAATGTTTTTTTTTGTTACTTAGTGACTTTGACCAGCTCCCACATAACATTCCCATCAGTGCCACCATTGCTGACATTGAGGAGAAGAAAGGCTTCATTGATTACTACGTAAGTTTGAACGATAAAAAACATTTTTTACCTGAACACAAAGTTTTTTATTTGTTTCACTCGTGTCGAGCAGCTCCTCCAGTTAATGTCATCAAATGACATTMACTGGATGAGAAGTGAAATGAAATGAAAAATGTTCCCTCTCAGAGGTTTGTGATCGAGGTGAAGACTAAAGGAGGGGGCAAGTATCTGATCTACAGGAGGTACCGAGAATTTTTCAACCTTCATCAGATCCTCGAGAGCAAATACTCGCCTGATAATCCAGACCGACCTGTTTCTAACACCTGCATCCTGCCGTCACTTCCAGGTGAGTTTCTGTCCAAAAATGTGATAAACGCAGAGGATTCCAGACATGAAACAATTCGCCGTGTCAGCTTTCACTTTTTTTTTCAAGTACATGTTTGTCAGAGAGCTCAGAAGAAACATTTTTAATCCTATGAAGACAGAATTACAGTATGTGAAAGATCTCCGACTTCAAAAAAGTTTGATTTTTAATATCTTAGGCACGTTTTGGCGATGAAACATGGGCCTACAATAAACACAGTGCATTTAAAAGGCAGTAGACAATAGATAAACATAATCTATTATCCTTTGAAGTTAATTAAATTTTTCAAAAGTAAACTGGTTCAGATCGTCTGAGTTCAATGAAAGATTTACCTCATTGTGACAATTTTTGGAAACTTACAGTGCTACCAGATTACTTTGTTATAAAAGCTGTTTTAAGTCTCATCAAGTTTTTTTTTACCTGCACCTTAACTACCTGTGTGTAGCTATAATCACACCATAAAACCACAAGTAAATATTATTTACTTATAATATTTGTATATTGCAACGCACTCAGAGCATGCCAGGTCATGTTTGTAATTAAGAACTGGTTCTCAAACAGTTTACCTGGATAAACAAAAGTTAAATAAAATAAATAAATTCATTATGTACAGTTTTTTTTCTTTTTGTCTTCTTATGGCTTATTTTGTTTTATTTATTTATGTTTTGCTGACAACTGTGACCTTAGTATCTATCTTTCATTCCTCATGDAGTACTCATTTGGAATGAAAATCCTTGAATTATTGATTTAACCTCATTATTCTGCACAACATTTAACTGACTCTGGAGCATCTTTTAGGTCCTGTTTTATATATTTAAAAAATCATGTCTAAGCATCAATTTTGTTTTCAAAATAAAAACATAAAAAACTAATCAATAACTCAATTAATTTATTGTATCAACATGCAATAGAAACATATATTAAATTTTAGATTAATCATGATTAATTCACAGCTTCTTTGGGATTAATCAGATTGAAAATMTCAATCATTTGACAGCCCTAGTAAATAACAAATATTGCCATTTTTGACACAATGCATACGTCCCACTGCTCCTAATGCAAGATCGTTTTAATCTAAGATCTATTTTTATTATGGTAAATGGTAAATGGACTGTACTTATATAGCGCCTTTCTATCCATCAGGGACACTCAAAGCGCTTTACACTGCAGACATTCACCCATGGACACACACATTCACACACTGATGATGGCAAACTACAATTGTAGCCACAGCTGCCCTGGGGCGCACTGACAGAGGCAAGGCTGCCATACACAGGAGCCACTGGAACCTCTGACCACCATCAGTAGGCAAGGTGGGTAAGGTGTCTTGCCCAAGGACACAACGACTGAGTCGACTGGATGGGAATCGAATTGGCGACCTTCCGGTTCCAGGTCGACTCCTCTAACCACTCTACCACAGCCGCCCCAATTTCTTTTATTAAAAGAAATATTACTACCAGTCTATTTTTTATGTCAATATCACTAGAATTAACTGAGTCATGGCCATTTTCATGTTTGCTAAGGTCGATGGTGGCCATTTTAAATTAAGTTGACTATAAAAGTGCTTCAGTTGTACATGCACATCCATTGTTCCCTTTTCATGGTACAAATGAGCAGAAGCACACAAAGGCATTATCACCTGCCTCTCACCTTTTATGCCAATTGGCAATTGTTGCAAGTTAAAGTGTTTTTTGTTTGTTTGCAATTAAGTGAAAGAGGAAAGAAACATGAGGGAGGGGARGATGTGTGGGTTTTAGCATTTGTCATCTTTAAGGTTTAAAAGATTGGCCCCTCATGGGTCCCAAAGCCCGGGCTTAATAGGTTCAAATGTTGTTTTTGGGTCAAGTGTTTAGGACTAAGGTGTGAACTGAGGGGTTAGGTTTAAGGATATAGAAACGCATAAACCATAAATGAAGGTTAATGGAAAGTCCTCTTGTTGATAAAAAGACATGATGTGTGTAGTGGTGGCATCATGGCTGTCAGCTTTGGGCAGTCAGCGGCCCTGTTGGCTGCATTCTGACCTTTACAGCTTATTTGCTGTAGCAACAATAATCATACATTCAATTCAACATTTTGCTGTCGAAATGTTTTCTGCTAACATTTACTTTCAGTACCCTGATTTCACAGTCTTGACAGATATCGATCTTGTTTTTTTTTTTCTCTGCTGCCGGCTGAAGGAGTTTTTGCCTCGTCACTCTGTAACTTTCACCTTCAGCTGCTCGCTCACTTTGCTCCGTGCATATGGAGAGGAACAGACTGAGTTTATGGTAGCAGCTGGCCAGACTTCCTCTCTGTCACTGGAAGAGCCGAACTCCATCCAAGCAGTTTTACAAACATCTGTATGTATTTGACGTACATTCTTCTCTCTGTGATTTCAGATTGGACTGTTGCATGATTCAATTTGCAACATTTACAAAACATTAGCTGCAGACACAAAATGTGAGTGACATACATATCTATATAATTTAGTGTGGGGTGAACTGAAAGGTTTACAAATTCATTTAAAAGAACACAAGAATGCAGTGATGGCGGATTTTAGGTGCAGCATAATAATATAAAAGTTTAGCAGCAGTGATGCTGCATTACAACTCAAATTCTCCACTAAAGTATCTGCCAGCTAAGGATTAGCATTATTCTCTATTAGATTAGTTGGATTTGACTTTAATAAGCACTTTACTATTAACTTAAGTGAACCTTTTTTTTTCTTACAGTTTAGTTTTTTTTTCTTCATTAGAGCTACGATTGATCCTACATTCCCTGAAGCCCAAATACAATGTTCTTGGCAAGGTTTCACAAAGTCAGCATTAAAAGCCAYGTCTTGAAGTGAGGAGTATAATACACACTGTCTTTTTTTAATTATATCAGTGAGGAGGCTGACATTGAGAACATCAGGAAGGAGCAGATGGATTGAAGGACAGATGAAGGACAAGACTGTATTTGAAAGGAAATACAATTTTAAGAAATTTCTCCCTGTTCAGGTGATGCTTASTCAGCATTGTTGCCACTTCAGCAWTAAATCAACARCTTTCTCATCGTCTTTATGTAAATCCAAACATTGAACTAGATGGGATGTTTGAAGCTAAAGATAGAGCAGTTTTGTCGCCCTGCTCTTGATGAAGAGTAATGCACTCTCTGTAGACATTTGTGTGTAATAAAGTATTTCAAACTACTAATCCCCACAGGAGATATTACTTGAATTTTTTTACTGGGTTCCAAAGCTGCTAGAAACACAGTGATGGAATGGAGTTTTAGGACAACTGTGACCTGAATTGTAAAATTAGCATGAAGGTAAAGAGGAACAGAAGAAATATATAAAACAATCAACACATCAGATAACTTAGATCCAGCAAAGACTGAAATGATAAGACATGCTCTTTATAGTGCATTGTAAAGTTAAATTAATCTGTTGTTAAACTGGTGTAGTTAATTATTTCTCACTATAGATCATCCATACCGTTAAGTTCATGTGAGGCCTTGATCGCTGTATTGTTGTGAGACTGCGTGTCCTCTCTTTGCTGGCTTTTATTTTATTCAGCTCATTGTTTTCCCATAAGTCTGTCTGTCTCTGATCGGCCATCAGTGTCTGTATTGATTATTGGAAGCTGGAACTGAAACTAACATCTGAACCAATAAAAGCCTGAAGGCTTCATGGAGGAGGATCGGACAATTGATTCAGGGGAGATGAGGACAGATGGGAGGCTTGTGTAGATTATACAGCGCATGCCTTAATAATCAAGTTATAGCTCACCTTGATCCCTCTGAAGTCTCTTTCACATTATTCCTCCATTGGCTCGCAGGGTTTATATGTATATTTTTTTAAACTTTTCTTTTATCAGAGGGCACAGTGTTATTGTGTTGTTCACAGGTTTTAAAAACAGCATAGTTGTAGTAGAAGCAAAGTAATCTGATTACAATGATTGCATCTCTTTATCGTGAAAAATGCTTCTTTTATTTTTATTTAATGCAAACTTCAACAGAGTTTGCTTTTCTTCTGACATTGGTATAAAGTTGAAATATTTTTAAAACATAATAAATCATCTCTTAAATAAATGGAATTTGTTATCGTACTCTGGCACAAACCAAACAAAAAGTAAATTCACAAACTCTTGGTTTAATGCTAATTTCAAAAATGTATGCTAAATAGTTGGCTGTGAAGATTTAT